CCCCCCCCCCCCCCCCTGCACACACACTTACCTGCAGCCGCTTGTATCCTCCGCTGTGATTGGGAAGCGAAAGCGAATCGGGATTCCCCTAACTTCCTGGTTATGGGGAGGGTACTATAGGCTCCTTCTGCCATCAGTCAAACTATGACTGTAAGCCCTCGTTCACACCTGAACGTTTTGTAGCGCGTTCTACGCTTGACGAACGCTCTACAAAACGCTCAAAAATATAAATCCCATTGTATTCAATGGTGAAAAAAACACGCGACGGTCGCGCATATGCAATACGCCCAGGTGAACGAGACCTAAGGGTGGGGGCATGGCTGGCCTCACGCTGTGTGTGTCTATGGGCGCACACAGCTGGGTGCTGGCACGGCCATGAGCGTGCACGCACGGGTGCCTCCACAGAAGCTGGCTAGCTGATGGAGGCACCTGTACAGGGGGGTTGGGGCTGGCAGTTTGGATACCACTAAAGAACGATCAAATAAAAACATTTAAAGAATAATTTTCTTTTTTTTTTAAAGTAAGTCTGGCCCCCATAAATAGAAACAGTTAAAAAAACCTGTCACTTTAATAACCATACTACCTCATGGGCGTACAGTACCATATGGGTCAGTATACACAATATATAACACATTTTATTGCTCAGATTCACAATACTTACTCAAAATCAAATCCACAATAGGGTCCAGGTTGTCGTCATGATTATTAAATTAATGTTTCTAACTTGGTAATGAATGATCTTATAATTGCCACAATAAATTCTATATAGATGACTGAATGCAACTCTATAAATATGAATGTTTCATTTCACTATTTCAGGGCTAAACTAAGGAAGAAAAATGTTTAATGCCTTTATCAAATCCATGTAATTCTATCCATGGTGGAATTCATAAATCACAGCTACGTCTAACTAGTAAATGATCTGATTAGGAGCATTATGATGCAAACAGATATGTACAGAAAATTTACAGCATCATTTGAATGTTGATGGATCATCCATAGGATTCTAAAACACTACCAAGTTCTTTAATCTTTTATAAGCTACATACAGATTTGTCCTTTTTATTTTGCATGAAAATCAGCTCCACACAAAACTGATATTTTAGATTTTTAATACTAGAAACCTGAATCAAATAATGTTATGTTATAATTCTAACAGACTTTGAGTCACCTGTCAGTCATCTGGCTGCTATAACCAGAGAGAAAAAGCTTTTGAAGCAGATCTCTGCTTCATCAGCTTCTTTGGTGGTCCCCAGGTGACATTAGGGGTCCTAGAGACCCCTAATGTCTCCATAAAGAGGACCTGTCAGTGTGCCTTTGCTATTATATAGGGGGATTGTTATTCCCCTATGTGATAGCAATAACATTAAGTTAAAAAAAAAGTTAAAAAATAATAAAAGTCAAATATAAAAAAAGTTTAAAAAAAAAACAATTTTTTTTTTTACGTCCCCCACCCTCACGTTTACGCACATATAAACGTACATTTTACAATACTTGAAGCTTTTTTGTGAAAACATAGGGAAAAATGAGCAATACTAATTATGTATTTTGTTCCCCAGACATACACTTTAATAGTAGCTATACAAAAGACAAGTGGTCTATACAAGATGATACAATATGTGACAATGAGAGGCATCTTTGCGACATGAGAACACTTGCATGCTAAATTCCTACAGCAGTGCCATATAGGAAAAGACTCATAAATGTAATAGACATTATAGCATGCTGCTACTCAGAGATTTCTGCTTAGGTTTGTTTCATTGTATTTGTGTTTTATTTTTAGAGAAGATCTGGAATAAATTGCAAGGGTTCTGGACATCATGTGAACCTGCACCTTGCATGGACGGAGCTGATTTTAATGGCTCAATGCAAAGGCAAGGTTCAAGAAGGTACACATCTACTATTCTATCCTAGTTTGATTAAGTATACCACAAGAAACATGAAAGTCATTATGCTGGTCTTCTTCCTCATCTTGGATTATTTCTTAATTTTATTTACTTAATAGCCTTAATGATTTCACTGATTATACGGCTCTCTTTGTGGAGAGTCAGCCAGTTATATCATTAAGCTAATAAAATGAAAGGCTAGCTCTGTGCTGTAAGTGCATCCCTGTTGTGATAATGCTTCTTCAGATGGCTTATCCTTACAATAGGATAGTAATTTAAACATGTACATTATCTCCAGGATTATACCTTGTCTGATTGGTCTGAAGTATATGAGTGTGTCAAGTGGGCATCACTGAGCCTGGATATCTACTTACCATTCACAGAATTGCGGTTCATCCCTGCTCTCATTCTCTGATTACAATTCCTGCTCCTTTCAGGCTAAAAGAAATGCCAGTGCTGGTTATATTCCGGCCATTTTTGTCCATAATGAAAAAAATCTACTAATTGCCAGCTCTGATGATCACTGAGAATATTCAACTGCCTCTGTTTCTTTCATCAATTGTTTGTTTTTTACTGGATGATGTTTTTGCAGTGAAAAAGATCTTTTGCTATCTCCCGATCGGTACCTTTCAGGGTGAATTTTGCTGTTGTCAATAGTATCATGCTGCAAGATGAAAAAAAGAAATCTGAAATTGCAACTACAGATTTTCAACGTTTTCAAATACTTGATAGATTCCATTTGTTAACCATACCATAATAATCGTAATCATTGCTGCATCAAAGAAAGGCTTTGTTAATTGACGGTTTTCACACCTCCTGTAGCCCAGACAGAGTCAGTTTTTGGTTCCTATTTAAAGCTGCAATCCAGGATACTAGTTAGCTTTTACCCTAACTCCCACTTCATATGTACAGTATAAAGATGCTAATTATTTATAATAAATATTACCAGTTTTTAAGAAAAAGAACTTTTAAAATCTTTGTGACGTCACACCTTTAAAGTGGAAGTAAGGGTTAAAAAAAGGTTGACTGTGTAAGTCTCTTCTGCCATAGAAGCTTCTTTCTAGTCCCAGCATGCTGAAATTAAGTAACTCCCTTACGCATGCTCAGGAGTTATGTCAGCGGGGTCAGGCCATTCATGTGGCCAAACACTCAAAAGGGTAAACTTAAAGGGTAATTCCGCTTTCCCAGGTGAATCTTGGAAAATGGAATTACTCCCTTGCTAGGAAGCATTTCTCATTGGTCAGCGTGGTCAGGTGACCTCGTATACCAATGAGTGCTGGCCATTTGTGAGCAAAATTCAAAATACAGAGTGCAAGGCTGCGCTGCTGTGTATGGAGTACATATAGTACACCGGCACCGCCAGAGGGGGAGGAGCATTCGGTCAAAGATAAGTATAGCAAGGGTGGGGGGAGAGGGGCCAGATTGGAGGGGTTAATTTCATTTTTCCAAATTCACCTGGGAAAGTGGGATCACCCTTTAAGGTCGGGCAAAGATAAAAGGGGCGATGAGGAAGAAGTGCATCGCTGGAGGGAATCAGTTTAGCAGGTAAGTCTGCCATAGTGCGCTATTATGCTGTGCATACTAGCACATTATGGCTAAAATCTCCTGGGGCCCATTTTTTTTTTGCTTTTACTTTAATTGAGAATGTGCAGTTTCAGCTGGACATCCAGAGCAAGTACAAAACAAGCAGCTATGTCAGTTCACCTCCCTGTACAGTGTCACTTGGAGAAACTATAATTCCCATGATGCTATGGAAATTATACCTGTGAATGGGTATGGGGCTGGATTGGGGGGAGTGTATGTGGCTTGCAGCAGACGTGGCTAGGGAAGCCAAGCCAAGAGCCTCCTGGTCTGTCTGTCAAAATATGAGGTAATCATGGGACTGGACATATCAGGAGTTTCCCGGTCTGTCAATGAAAGGACGCAAAGGTCTTGAGACTCCTGAGCCTTCTCACTACAATAGTGGAAGCATAATGAAGTCTCTGCTCACTGAAATGGAAACTTCTGATAGGATGTTACAGTACCGGTGCCCATAGGAATGGCAGTCACTGGTCTTACTGAAAGAAATGGTGGTGATTTCGCAGTGGCTGAACACATTTATGGAGAAAAGATATACAAATTGCTGAAAGGTGGAAATGGCATGTGCACTAATATGATTACATTTCTCCCTGGGGTTTAGCTTTAACATAGTGTTGCTCTAATAGAGAATCTAAGTGAATAAGAGCTCTAGGCTTTCTCCTATGAATTTAGATGCACTGTTCTAACAATTCAAGTGCAGAGATATATATTATTTCACATGTCCATTGGTGGCTGGCTCTCTTTACCCTTGCATATTAGAAAGCCAGTATGAGTTATCTTAAAGCAGAACTACACCCTCCTATCCTTTACAGCCAAGGAAGCTGCCATCTTAGCCTCTATTTGGTTTGCAGTTACCATGGTGCTGCACATGTGATAAGCTATGATACCAACCATTTGAGGGCTTGAAAGCTTGAAAGTTTGTTTAAGAGCTAAAGTAAGCACACATACACCATTGACAGTTGGCATGCCTTGTAAAGTTACTGTTTTGGGGGACATCAAATTGGTGGGTAAAGTTCCTCTTTAAGGCATTGGTTGTACTGCACTACTCCATGCTGTGCCCCCTATATTTCCTTTTCCTGATTAAACCAGTTTTCTTTCAGAGGCCTTGGATATCCTTACTCGCTCCATGGATCAAGCTGATCTTAATCAAGACCACATCCCTTTATTGTTTTTCATTGCTGAATCAGTTCTGTATAGAATATGCTGTGATACAATACAGAAACCACACCTGTTCTCCAGTGAAATCAAGCTTTCAAAGGTACACATATCTCCATCAATAAAACATTATTTGTGAAAATTACATAAACCGAATTAAAGACTCATCTTTGCTAATGTTTGTATTCCAATCCAGGTCACTCTTTTAATTGACCTTCCATTTTTGTATATTTTTGAGTACACCTAGAATATGGCTGAAAACATTCTTCTACAGCTTTGCTAATATCAATGCAGAATTTGTTAACTTATTTGACTTTATGTTTCTGTATGTTCACGACACTCATGCAAAACAGGCCTTGTATGTACAATACTGTTCAGTGTTTGGGTTTTGGCACAAATGGTTAATTTGGCACAGTAGAAAACAAATGACATTTTAGTGTAATACGGTCGCAGAGGCTTTTGATAATCAGCTACTTTGCATGATACAGTGTAGCCGAAAAGAATACATATTTCAGGATGTCCTCTAGTTAGACATAACCATTTTGTATGTAAAGATATCGGCTAGGACAGGGGCGCCCACAATTTTTCGTTTGGAGATCTACTTTTCAAATGATGAGCTCAATGAGTTCTTCCAACAAAAAAACACCTGCATTCAGGGGCGGGATCGGGCTTGGCGGTGCATTGAACTCAATGGCACCTCAGGCACGCCCTCCGCCTGCAGTGCGATCGCCCGCACTGGGAACGCAGGCACATTAGTTGTGGTCTGGTCCAGTGTGATCTGCAAAAATGTTTGCAGATCGCACTGGAGAGGAACGCAGGCACTAATGTGCATGCGTTCCGGGTGTGGACGATCGCACTGCGGTCGGGGGGCGTGGCTGCAGTGCCATTGACTTCACTGCACCGCCAACGCCCCCTCCTGCCCCTGAACGCAGGGAGCTGGCCCGCTTGCGTTCCAGTGCGTTCTAGAGGCCGAACACTCTGGAACGTAGACTTTCTGGTGTGTACTGGCCCTCTCTCTTGGCAGTCTCTTCTCTCTCCTCGCGCTCTCCCCTGTTTCTATCTGCTGTCTCTTCTCTCTCTCTCTGCTTTCTCTGCTGTCTCTCTTCTCTCTCTCTTCTGTCTCTTCTCTCACTCTCTCACTTTCTCTGCTGTCTTTCTTCTCTCTCTGCTGTCTTTTCTCTCACTTTCTCTGCTGTCTCTCCCCTGTCTGTCTTTTCTTACCTCCACTGCTGCAGCTTCCAGGATGGCGTCCTGTCCTCCCGCGGTGCTCGTGTGACCGAATGGGGCCGACGTTGCACATGGAGAGAGGTGTCCCGCCCCTTCCCCCCTGTAGCGTCTGACACATTCAGCTGCACGAGCACCGCTGGAGGACAGGACACAGGTCAGTGAGCCAATCCTGATCTACCAGTGTTCGCTTTGCGATCGACCTAATAAGGCACCCCTGCCCTAGGATATAGGGGATATAGTTTACATGTTGTGTAGCTTTTATTGCCAGACTAAATATGTACCTATGATTCTATCTAAGCATCTGAGAATACAGACTGGTATGTTCCCTGGTTCCAGACATCTCCCTGGCTAGGTTTCGGAGCGGGATGGTTGACACTAAATCATGCAATAAAGAACTACCTTTCTGCCCATATAAATCTGACATTAAAAGTAAATTGAGTAGAAATGTTGGCTTAAAGTAGATGTAAGCCCCAAATTAATGTTCCAATCCTTAGTTCTGCTGATCTCCTGCAGTTTCTTTACTGTCTACATGAATGCACTCCAATGATAACTTCATGGCATTTTTCAAGGCACGTTTCCTGATGGTGGCAACAGGGGACCATACTTGCATATTGTATGTTGAAATGCCTACGTGTAGTCCCATTTGGAAGCCAGTGTGACAGTGTGATAATGCAGAATCACAATTGGGGGACAGAAGCAGAGCATTGTCACCCTATATCAGGAAGTGCCCAACCCATGACCTTCATAGCAGGGTCACCAGATATTATTTTAATAAAAGCTAAGATTAAAAAAGTAAAAAAAATGTTTTTATTACATTAACATGGTAAAGTTTATATGAGATTTTAGTGATTGGGTTTACATGTACCTTAAAGGATAGCTGGACAGTTAAATGCCCCCCTCCTTCTCCCCAGCAACTCCTCTAAAGGTAAGGCTATTCTTACCTGTCCCCTGGCCTCCATGGTCTAAATATAAGACTTGGGGCAGGAAAGGTGCTCAGTTGAGGAGACAATTAAAGGTACATTCAAAACTACAGCTATCCTTAACACATAGTTATAGTGTCTCCTGGATTCCTTGCCTTTATTTAGTTAAGCTATTTGTGTATGAGCTATGTACAACTACATCGGGGATTTACGGTGAACCTATAATGTTTCATTCAAATGTGTCATTTGTTGGAGTCATAAATAATTTCCAATAATTTTGTAATGACGGCATTGTTATTAGTGCCAAATTATATAAGCATTCAGGAAATCTCTATTAAATGTTTATGAACCTTTTATTTTACCAACAGCTTGGACTGGTGTCATTTTTAAGGCTTTATTCTTTTCACCTCGTTGGGAAACTGCAACATTTTGAAGAACAAAAGGATAGGCTGTACATATACTTAAAAGGTTTGTTTTATAAAAAAAACAAAATGTCTTTATTTGAAGGAGAGCATACCATTTTTATTTTTTTCAAAGTGTGACTTATGGGGTTGTAATAAGTAATTACACTGTATTAGTAATGTGAACGTTTTTTTTTTAGTTTTTATAATAGACGTATGTTAACCACTTGCCGTCCGCCCGTTGTAAAAAAACGGACGGACGGCACTGCTGCATTGGCGGGTTGCCGTCTCCAGACGGCATTTTTTTTCTGCTCGCGCGCGCCCCCTAGCGGGCACGCACGGGCAACACACGGCTTCTATTATCTGCATAGATGTTATCGTTTTCTGTACCTACTCATTTTATATACATGATACAGCCCTATATTGGAGAAACGCTACAGATGTTCCTAAATGCCATTACTATTATTTAAAAAGAGTGTGGGTGCTTTTCTACCTAGGGATTCTATTGAAAGCTGTGCTACTGGGCATGAACGTTTTCCCACAAATGTTACACACATCTGTTGCTCATTCCCTGTGAAATGCTGTATGATATTTTGCTATCATTATAATAAAGCACATTTACTGCACATGTGTTCACCAGATCAAATCAAATTTGCCACACATTTAAATGTCCCATTCTTCAGTGGGCAAGCTGTGTTCCAGTGCTTTATCCACCAGCTTCAAGCTGTCTTTTCAAATGTTGCTGTTTGGAAATGGTGAATCATAGATGTTATCAGTAATATTATCAGTAATGGACACTCCATGCTCACCTTTGCACTCCCTACTGCAAATCCAATGCACTACAGATCAGGATTTTAGCTTTAATATCCTTTTATGAAAATGCCCCCTGTACTCATCATAAAATCTAAACAGGCAAATATCTTTGTTAGGGTACATAGGTAAGCTTATAGCCATTCTAACACCCCTAGCTACACTTTCTTCATTTCCCACAAAGCCTGCCTGGAAATCAACATAAATTCTGGGTCATCTTTAAAGTGTGTCAAGTCAAACAGTTTTTGTTTTAGATAGAAGGATTCTAGGGGATTTAGATCTTAGGAACTGCATTAGATCGTTTTCCTAACTTTCTGTCCCAGTGGCATCAGTTCACCAAACAGGAAGTAAGGTAAATGCTGCAACAGGGACAGACAGAAATAACATTCTGACAGGGTTTCTATTCTTCCCCTAATCTAAAAAAAACAAAAAAAAACAGTGTTGCTGTTGGAGAGGAGTGGAAAGTTGCTCTCACTTCCTTTTTGATAAAACACTGTAGGCAGGACAGGATGTGAGGGGAAATCTCTCTGATGGAGTCCCAAATAGCAGTGAAAATCCAACAGGCATTCTAATTCTTTCTAATTCTACTGTATCCAAAACCCACGAAAAAATGATGATATTTATTGTAAATTAAAAACAAAAACAAACTTTTTGTGCCCGGAGT